CAAAGAAGAAGAAGAATAAGATATTAAAACAGAAGACAGAGTAATCTTTTTCTTCTGAGCACTCACCAGCTGTAAACTGAGCACAAACATTTTTAATTGTTTGTTTGACTTTGGCCTTGTTCCAGAACCTAAGATTTGCGTGCACATCAGTTTTATAGACCTGTCTTATTTGTGTGCAGACTGTTGGTTCCTATCCTCTCGGGCAGATGCACCCCAATTTTGAAAGAATCATTGCTCCTATCTGTGCTGGCCAGGCCCTGGAAGAAAGCTGTTTCCAGGAGGATTGCAGATGCAGACAAGTGTTGACCAGTATGAGAGCTGGTCCTGATGCACTGTCACATGTGGTTCAACATCTAATCATCCTACATGTAAGACTGTGCAGTGGTTGAACAACTAAGGACACAGACGTCAAAGCTTCCCCGCATGGGTTCCGGGACCCCAACAAGAATAGACCCACTGCCTATCCAAAAGTGTGTCGTAAGAGTTGACTAATTAGGAGCTTTCTTCGAAATCAGAGTACATCTGCCTGAGAAGCAAGGAACCAACAGTCTGCATGCAAATGAGTCAGATCAGTGAAATGGATGTGCATACAACATTCGACAGGACTAGAGTCCAAAAGCAGATGAACAACCAGAACTTTATATCTGAGTTTACAGCTGGTGAACGTGAAGAAGAAAAAGAAGACGTCAAACATGTGTAGGGTAACCTGACCGAATGCGCTACTTGGCATGGCACATGATGATGTTGATAACAAATAACACACCATACCCTAATTCACTTGTCTGCAGGTCTCAAGGTCTGATGTTTGAATCTGCATCCAGGTGGGTTTATAATCTCTTTCAGTCTCTCAGATTTGGCGACAGATGCCCATTATGGCAATAACCACAATTAAGTATAATACATCAGTGCCTTACTTCTGAAACACACAAAGTACCCTGTGCTGCATGTTCAAATGCGTAGCTAGATTTCCTTAGTGTACTCAGACCAAAATGAAAGGTATAATAACATATAATGTGTTGCTTGCTTGACAAACATGGGTAAAAGCTGATCACATGTGATTTACTTGGGGTAGAAAGAGTGGTGTTATATTAACCCTTTATAACTGAAGTATTAGTTTAACTACCTCTCTTCTAAACTGTCTTTGTTTAACTCCTTTGGATAGAAGTACAACTGCTTTGGATAGAAAGAGTTAAAATTAATATCCTAATAATGAGCGAAGCAGAGCTGGATGAACAGGATCAGTATGTTTTGTAATGTTTGCTTTTTTTTCAACCTATACAAAGTCTACATACATTAAATTATATTCATTTCTTCTTTCATTCAGAACACAAGTTCAAAGCAAATAGGCATTGATTATTTTCAAACATGGATGATGCAAAAGCTATGGAGCTGAAAGTTTATGAGGGAGAAAACCAGGACAGTATGTATTGAACTGCTTATATTTTCACCTTGGTACTTTAAAAAAAAAAATGAGTGTAAAGGGAACACAGTGTGTGTAAGTGAAGTTGATTTAATAACTAGCATTATGTATTTTTTTTTTTAAAATGGAATGAAAGTTAAATGCATTTGAAAACAAATTCCTGAGGAAAATGTGGAGCATAACGTGGGGAATATATTTATAAGACAAAGAAGATGGTGCTATATTAGACACATCCTGAGAAGAAACGAGCAGAAAATCACCAGACAGGCACTGAAATGGAAAATAAAGAGAACTGAGGACAGTTAATGAGGGCCTCCAAATCCTAACAGTTGTTCGCGAGAGATGCCAAAGGTGCTAGACCAGATTCCATTCATCTTCTTTCTTCTTCTTCGCGTTCATCAGCTGTACACTCTGGCGGAAAGTTCTGGTTGCTCGTTCACTACTGAACTGCAGTCCTGCTCCAGAACCTGAGTCGCGTGTGCATCAGTATTACAGATCTCATTCTCTTGAATTACAGACTGTTGGTTCCTTGCCTCTCCGGCAGATGCACTCCGACTTCAACGGAAGCTCCCCAATTAGTCGGCTTTTACGACATGCTTTTGGGGAGGCAGTGGGTCTATTCTTGTTTTCCCCACAATGGGGTCCCGGAACACACACAGGGGTTTTCCATTCATGATATTGAAGAGATTGCACAGGATAGAATGGAATGGATAAATAAACAGATTGTGAGCCCTGTGTGATATATAATTTCAGAACAGGACCAAGTCAGTAGAGAAAGTATACATACATACATTTAGGTTTTTGCAGGTGCTGTGAAGTTCATGCACTGAGCTGGAATTTTCTTCTTGGGTGATCTGTGAGTTTAAAAAAAATATTTGCTGGCTGTTTGTGGGTTTAGCAGGTAATTTTACATTAAATACTGTCCCCCCCCCCCCCACCCCCCCCCAAAAAAAAAAAACCCCACACAATCTTATATAATTTTCTCAGTCAGGGCTCCGGGGTCCCATTGTGGGGAAAGCAAGAATAAATCCACTGCTTCCTGAAAAGCATATCATGTGAGTCAACTAACTGGGGGCTTCCTCCAAGGTCGGAGGGCAAGGAACCAACAGTCTGCATACAAATAAGCCAGATCTGAAACAACGATGTGCATGCAACATTCAGAATCAGGAACATGACTTAAGTCCAGAGGAGGACAAACAACCATAACTTGTGTATGGAGTGTACAGCTGGCAGATGTGAAGAAGAAGAATATATCAATTTTTGCTTCGACAGATAAACTGGAGCTTATTTTCATGAATGTTTTTTCTTTCAAATACAAAAATCTAAATTTATTCGTATATAAAATTCTACATCTATTCAAATACAGTCATGTCATCTTCTTCTGAAACATCATCACGACTCTCCAAATCCGTTCATATCAAATGTACACCAGTGGTATTTTTACTCCAATTGGCCACTCAACAGCATGTTCCTCATTCTTAACTAGTGCTTATTTTGGGGTAGGATGTATTGTTAAAAGCATTCTGAGAATTTATGCAAGCCCTTTTTTTTGGAGTAGGCCTTATTTTAGGGGAAACATAGCAGTTTGCTAATGCCTCTGAGTGGCCGATGCTAATATCACTTTTGAAGTCAATGTAGAGCGGTCTGCTTCTGAATTGCCTGCAGCTGGCTTTGTGAAAATTAGAAAACTGTTTTATGCAAGCACTTTGGCGGGGGGGGGGGGGGAACTAGGCCTTATTTTAGGGGAAACATTGCAGTTTGCCAATGCCTCTGAGTGGCTGATGATATTATCACTGTTTAAGTTAATGTAGAGCCGTCTGCTTCTGAATTGCCTGCAGCTGGCTTTGTCAAAATTATAAAACTGTTCATAACCCCTAAGCCTCAGAGTCTGACAATGAGAGGAGAAAAATTTATAGATAAGACATCCTCTTGCAGTCGAAGTGATCCTTAACTAAGCAGTAGCAATCATTTTGTTCTATTTCTGCATGTCAATCTCCTTGATTAATTATTCTAATTAGTTTTATTCTGTTCTGTTTTCAGCTGTAGATGGATTCAGAAAATTTGTCAAAAGAACGCTGCAGACAATTTGCAAGTGAGTATTGGTTCAGGGGCCAGATGACTACTGATTTAAACAGTTATGAGACAAAGAAGATGGTGATATATTGGGAACATCATCAGGAGAGGTGGACAGAGAATAACCAAGCAGGCACTGAAATGGGAAACTTCATCTTCGTTGATCTCTGGTCATTTGCTGAATCCACTATGGGCCGTAAATTGAGATGTATGCTCAAAGTGTTAGGTTTCTTGAGCGCTTAGTTGTCAAGTCTACTGGGCAGGCCACATGTTGTTTTGCAGCTCAGCCAAGAGACAGTCTTGCAAGACATCCACATGTTGTTTTGCAACTTCGCCAAGAGGACAGTCTTGCAAGACAAGTCAGCACAAAGACACAGAAAGAGAGCTGTTCCGCTCATACCCAATTTATATGAGTATTTGTTGAGTCTACAATGTCCAGTATGTAAGCATAATGGGCAACAAATTGACTAAGGAAATGAGGATGCCCAAGAGTAACTCTTAAATGAACATTGATGAGAGAGGCCAAAGGTCCTGGACTAGATTCCTTCATTGTGGAGAAGGCACAGACGTTTTTTAAAAGACCAAACTCGAGAGGTGATGTTATCATCAAACCAGGGAATCAAGAATGCCCTAGTATAACTTTTTATACAATTGGAGAGAATGCCTTCTGATGCTATACCATACAAGGTATATACCATACAAGGCATATACCATACAAGGCATATACCAAAAGAGGAGAAGGTCAAGAACAATATGGGAAGATAACATCAGAGAAATTCTACAGCATCATGATGTATCCGTGGTTGAAGCAGCAAGAAGAGCACGAAGCAGGACCTTACATCTCCCTCAACACGTGAAGTGGTAGAAGAAGACATGAAGAAGAAGAACAGAGTTTCAAGCATTTCCTCTTGTTTGTTTCACATCTGTAAAGTGGCTGTTTGAGCTAATCTGTCAGGCTGCAAACCTGGAGGGAGGGGAAAAAAAAATATCCACTCAAGTCAGTGTCTGTTGTAGAGGCGACCATACATATTTTCTTAAAATATGGAAGATTAAAGGATGGAAACATCAGGTAGTGAGTACACTTTAGTTTGAAAAGATTGAGACTGAACAGAACAGTCCAAGTCAAATTGTTTGCTTACACACTGGACACTGCAGACTAAGTAAATACTCATATAAATTAGATATGAACCAAAGGCAATCTGCCAGTGTCTTTGTGCTGAAAAGACCCCAAAACCTGTCTTTCAAGACTTTCCTGTCCTGAAGGAGCTGTGAAGCAACATGTGGCCACACCCATGGACCTGTCAGCTTAGATTTTGGGTACCTGAGAGACCTTGAGATTTCCCAGTTAATGGCCCACAGCAGATTAAGTGCATGACCAAAGATTGCCGATGAAGAAGAAAAGGATTAAGAGATGCATGATTTTATTTTCTTTGAAGCTCAACATATTGATTCATTTTAACCAAATATTTTTTTATGTTTTAATGTTCACAGGAAATATGACAGGAAGGCCACTAGTGCTGCATCATTTCTTGATGTAACTAAACCTTCAAAAGTTGCAAGGGAACCAGATATAGACTTAACTGATGTTTACGATTTTAGTCACCGACAACGAGGTCTTGCTGTTATAATCAACAACGAAGATTTCTCCTTAAGCAGACTGAATAATGTGAGGGGGCCATTAGATGATAGGCCTGAATCATCATACGATGCTTTAGCACTCAGTCGTACATTTGAGAAACTTGGCTTTGATGTATTGCTAAAGAATGACTTAGAAGACAAAAAGATGGTGGTGCTGTTAGAGTCAGGTGAGGATTGCATCTTTTGCTTGTAAAGTTGTTTGTCGAGTCCCGGGTTCAAATCCTAGGTAAAGTTGTTTGATTTGTTTGTTGGGGCAACACACACAAAAATCATAACCTGCACAGTTTGTGGCAACAGCACTTGACATGCAACCCTAAATCTGTAGGCTCAGAGACCCCCCCCCCCTTCTTTCCACCCAACGCCTACACCACAAAAGTGGTAAGTACATATAGTAATGACAGTTTTGTTTTCAAAGAGTTAATTGTTTATATAAAAAACATGTATTCTTTAAGAAATGGGACATATTTCCATGTCTAGACTGCAACAAAACTCGTAATGTGTTTTAAGTCAGAATAAATTGCTGCCATCGTGAGGGCCAGTAAATTGCAGTGGTTGAGGTATATAATGAATGACAATAACATGCAAAAGAAGCAAAGTACTTATTTTGTGTAGGTAATCAAAGTCCCAGATCTGCCAGGTTACCTTCTGCTGGCTTCTGAAGGCATAGGCCGTGATGAATGATCCCCACAGTCAGGGATTATGTCAAATAACAGATGAGATAAAATTCATCCCTGTTTCACTCCAGTACCAATTTAAGACCAATCACTTAAACCGTCATCTGTTCGCACTGCACACTCTAAACCTTCGTACATTGCCTTAATAATATTTATTATTTTCATTTGTACAACACCATATTGACATTAGATGCAGTAAAGCAAACCAAGTATTGGGACAGCTAGCCCCTCTCTTACAGCATAAGACAATCCCAATCAGCACAAAGAGACATCTTATTCAAAGCATATTTATTCCAACTCTGTGCTACCAGTGCCAGACATGGTCACTCACAACAAACCATAAAAGAAAATTAGTAACCATGGAAATGAGATGTCTGAGAAGGGCTGTAGGAGTGACCATAAGAGATAAGATCAGGAATGAGATCATAAGAGAACAAGTCGGCACAGAACCAATTCTGGATTACATACAAAGACAGCAAGTGAAATGGTTTGCCCACTTAGAGAGAATGCCTTGTGACACCATACCATACAAAGCATACATGGAAAGAGAAGAAGGACGTAGAGCAAGGGGTAGACCAAGAACAAGATGGAAGGATAACATCAGAGAAACTCTACAACAGCACAATGTGCCTATGATCGAGGCAGCCAGAAGAGCTAGAAACAGAACCTTATATCTCCCTCGACACCCACAGCGGTAAAAGAGGAAGTGAAGAAGAAGAAGACAACACCATAGTATTCCACAATTCCCCATAGTATTGTTCTGTATAATTATCAAAAGCTTCTTGAAAACTTTAAATAAGCCTCTCAGTTATCTTTGTTTCTTCTTCTTTGTTCACCGGCTGTGACCTCCGGCAAAAAGTTCTGGTTGTTCGTCCATTGGGACTTTGGCTTTGTGCCAGGACTTGTACATCCATTTTTTTTTTTACTTATTTGTGTGCTGTTGTTCGTTGCCACTTGGGCAGATGTACTCTGACTTCGAAGGAAGTCCCCAGTTAGTCGACTAGTGCGACATGCTTGCTGGGGAGTCAGGGGGGGTCTATTCTTATTTTGCTCACAATGGGGCCCCAGATCCACACGGGGAATCTTTGTTTTAGTAACATATGAATGGTGCAATCCTGTGTTCTGAAGAGTGGTTACAAAATACAAAATGTAGAAGTGTACAGTATTTTTGTGTGCTTTTATTAGTTGCAACTCATTTGTTTGAAAATATGGTGGCCTGAAAATAATTACCACACAGTTCAGCATGAATAAGACCTTTAGAAGCCTCAAATTTAAATAAAAATGAATCAGAATTATGTGAAGTTGGATGAAGAAAGAAATGAAGCAGACTTGTCTCAGTTATTTGTAGAATCAAGTTTTGATGAGTGAGTGTTCTGAACAGCTAGTCAAGCACAGAAAAATGACAGTCATATGGTATATGAAGAAAAAAAATTCAGTTTTAATTTTAGTGCAGAAAAATGAAAGCCAGCTGTTTTATGAAGAAGAAAAATTAGTTTTAATTTTAGTGCTTTACTGCATATAATTTCTTCTTCTTCATTCAAGTGATGTAAATACTGCATTTTTACAGCAAGGCTGCGATAATTGCACCTTTTGGTTGAAACATCCAACTTCATTGAGCATTTGTTGACCGGGTTAACTTCCCGGATCTGAATATAATTTAATAATATGACTACAAAATTATGGTACACTGGCTGTTATATCAAGTTATATAAATGCTGACTGTAGTTATTAACTAACTAACCAACAAACTACTGTTCTGCATGAAAGGATGATGCTGACTGTAAACATTAACTGTATGTTACACAACAAAGAATGATTATGTCCATGCCGTTGCCGACTCTATACACAAAAACCGACTGTTCTAAAGCAAAGGAGGATTACATCCATTTAAATGCTGACTGAAAATTAACTGTATACAGCAGAGGCTAATTATCATCATAATAAATCTAATCTAAACATGAACTCTTTAACAGCAAAGGTCATGCTGATGCTGACTCTAAGCAATAACTGTCTGTTTTACAGCAAAGTATGATTATCACTTTAGTAAATGCTGACTCTGAACATTAACTGTTTTACAGCTAAAGATGATTATGACCATGCCAATGCTGACTGCTTTGTGTGTGCCATCCTGACACATGGCGAAGAGACATTCGTGAGTACAGGAAATAATCTGCCTGAGGTTAGGCTGGACATGCTGTCTGGGGCCAATGGAAAGTCTGTGGCAACCAGCACTCTTGTTAATATGTTCAGTGATGATGCCTGTCCCAAATTAAAAGGAAAACCTCGTTTGTTTTTCATACAGGTATTGTTTTTTAAATTTGTTTACCCTAAATGTAACTAGGCGGCGTCCGAGGCTTAGGCGTTGCGAGTCCAACTTGTGTTTGAAACCCACTGCTGGCTGCGTGGATTTTATCATGGTATGGGACGTCGCAGGTCGAACTAGCCTAAAATGGGTACCAGGATGGCTGTCCTGGGGAAGTAAAGACAGCCGGCGTAATGCTGATCACATTACCCAGTGCTGATGGTCTGTAAAAATATGGGATGCTCTTCCCATATACCCGATATACCTAAAAAGGCGTGAAAAGGGATCTTTACTTAAATTTTTTTTTTAAATGTAGCTAGAAGAGACAGGATCAGAAATATCAGGCTAACAGATGGGACCTAACCAATACTAAACTATATAGAGAGACAACAGATAAAATTGTTGGGATAAATGTAAAGACTACCACCATATTGTGCACCACGGAGAGCTCTGTCACTTGGACATAATGGAAGTAGGTTTAGAGGTCCACCACGCAGGTAAGGGATATATGGAATGCCAACATTTACGTATCACATACCAAGGTTTGCACCCAATGCTTTTTCAAAATCTGACGCTGAAAGGTAGAACAAGGCTGAAAACGAAGATCTTAACCTTAATTCACTCAGTTTGCCTTGAAAAATAGTCCCTTGTGCCATGCTTGCCATGTATGCTGTTGTTTGTTTGACTAACTACTTGAGTGTAGTCTTGAGAGGGCATTTAGTAAAATGAAAGCAACTTTCTTATACATAACTGAACAAATTTACTGCAGTAATTAAAAAAATACTTTTCAAATTTTCCTTTACATAACTGAACAAATATACCACAAAAATTAACATAAAACCTTTTCCACCTTTCTTTTACGTAAGTTAAGAAATGTACTACAGTAATTAAGGCAAACACTTTTCCAGCTTTGTTATGCACAGGTGAACAGTTGTACACCAATAATTAAAATAAATACTTTTCCAACTATTATCTTATTAACTTAACAACTATACTACATTAATTAAAATACATTCTTTTCCAGGCATGCCGGGGTGAAGAGTGTGATAATGGTGCACGTATACAGTTAATAAAGCATACGGCAACCACATCAGAAAGTGACAGACAAAGCCATGATGGAACAGCTCATGGTAAGACACAAACTGAAACTGAAAGATCTCATGATGGTGAAGCTTCTTCAAACTGCTTGCCTAGAGCACAGGGTCTTCAGACAGGCACCACAGATGCCAACCCAGACTACAGTGAAAACAGCATTGAAGAAGACTTACAGAATATAAACATGAATGCCACTGCAAGTGGTGGTGTAGACATGATTGATGTACCTGGGGCTGCAGTCCAACGTGTCCGTCATGTCCGTCTTTGTCCTACACCATTATACAAGGATAGCTTGATCATGTATGCCACTACTCCTGGTAAGTTCTGGATTCTTACATGTCAGTTCTTAAAATAAAATGCTATTTCTTCCCCATCTGAGTTCCAGGGCCCCATTGGGGGAGAATAAACACTTTGCCTCCATCCCGAAAAATAAGCATGATGAAGAGTCGACTAATTGGGGGCTTACTTTGAAGTCAGGGTGCATCTGCCTGAGAGGCAAAGAACCAACAGTCTGCATACATGTAGGTCAAATATATAAAATGGATGTGCATGCAACAAGTTCTGGAACAAGACTGAAGTCCAGAGGTTGAGGAACAGCCATAACTTTCTGCTGGAGTTTACAAACATGGAACACATAGAAGAAGAAGAAGAAGAAGAAGAAGATTGACTGTTTTTAATTTAGTCTGAGCAGTGAATTTCTGTTGCCAAGTTTGTGTGTGTGTGTGTCAGTTCTGAGCAGTGGATATCAAGTACTGTATTTACTGACAGTTCTTAACAGGAAATATCAGAAGTCATCAGTTCAGAGCATTTGCATATAAAAAGAGAGAAGCTATGGGGGACCGGTGGCGACCTACAACGCGCAATCCTATTTTTGACCCAGACGGGACTCAATGTGTAGCATGACTGATGTCGAACGCAGAAGAAGAAGAAGAAGCATGTAATATTATATTTTCCATATCAAATCTGAGCTGTTGATATCTTATACTGAGTATTTTTAATATCAGTTCTAAGAATTGAATATGAGGCGCCCATATAACAGTGCATTTGCAGTAAATTTGGTTAAAACCTTTTACCTTGTATAATGTCAGTATACTGATGGTTACCGACATGTCATGATGTTAGACTGATATCATCTTCTCTCTAGGTTATACCACATGTATATTATAGACATAAATTGTTGGAATACCATTGACCAAGAAGAAGAAGAACAATGACATCCTTCCTGGTGTGGGTTCCGGGGCCCTGTTACAGGGAAAACAAGAATAGACACATTGCTTACCCAAAAGCATGTCGTAAGAGTCGACTAACTGGGAGCTTCCTTCAAAGTCGGAGCACCTCTGCCTGAGAGGCAAGGAACCAGCAGTCTACATACAAATGAGTCAGATCTGTAAAACAGATGCACACACAACACTCAGGTTCTGGAACAGGACTGCAGTCCAGAAGTGGATGAACAACCAGAACTTTCCGCCATAGATTACAGCCGGTGAACGCGAAGAAGAAGAAGAACTGACATCCTTTATGATCTAAAGATCGAGGAGAATTGGCTCATCAACAGCATCCTGCCCTAAAAGCTGAAGTATTTTGGTTATGTTAAAAGTCATGGTGGCCTGGCAGTTTACAGAAAATGAGGCAGTGGCAGTATCCCCAGAGGTGGATACGAGACAGGCAGACCTCCGCAAAGGTGGATACAAGACAGGCAGACCTCCCCAGAGGTGGATACAAGACAGGCAGACCTCCGCAGAGGTGGATACAGAACATTGAAAATACATTGGCTATAAAACCACATAGGTCTGGAGAATTGGCTAGAGGTAGAGGAAGACAACATCAGAAGATTCTTGATAACCTTTTGTTATGATACTGAAGTTTATCAGCAACAAGGCTGATACATGCTGTTTGAGATCGCAAACTGTAGAAAGGTATGATCGCCTACACCAGTGATTCCCAAACTGTGCACCGTGGCACCCCGGGAGCCGCGACCTCTTCACAGAGGCCCCGCAAAATATTCAAAGATACACAAGTTCTATTTATTTTAATCTCTTACATACGAATAGCCATACTTTTACTTAGGTTAGGGCGCAGGGGAGAAATGTTAAATGAAAAAGGCCCTGCGACAAGTTAGGAAAACACTGGCCTACATTATTCGACAAGGCACTTGATAATGATAGACTGTAACATCATGGTCGGCAGTAATCCCCTTTCCTGCTGCTGGCAAAAACAAAAAGCAGTGCCACATATTTTCCCCGTTAACAATGAAATGAGAAACGTTTTTTATTTTAAATTCACCGCAGCTAATAGGCTGACTTCTAGAGGGTTGGAACGACTTAAAATTATTTACATTAATTTTCATTAGAAATATAGTTTCATTATATGAGTTATTTACCATACGACCTCAGTCAAAGAATAGATAAAGTTTATATCTTGAGGTTCTACTGTACTTTCATGTAGCATTTAGTTATGTTAGAAACCTGCTATAAAGATTTTCTATAAAATATCCCCTACAGGTCATTATGCATGGAGAAGGGATTCAGGTGCCTGGTTTATGCAGACTTTATGTAAAGTACTGGACAACCCAGACATTGGTAGCAAATCCTTGCTAAGTGCTCTTGTAAATGTCGCTGGCATAGTTACCAGGGACTTTGAATCAAGTACCCCAAACAGGCTATCCACCCATCAAAAGAAAGAGACACCAGTTATTGAGTCCATGTTGGTAAAGGATGTGTTTTTTACTCCAAAATAGATGACAATGGTAACTTTTGCCTTTTGATCTTTTGAGAATCTAAAATCTTTGGCTAGGCTTTTAACTGGAATTCTTCTTCTTCTTCTTCCTCTTCTTCTTCTGCTTCTTCTTCTTCTTCTTCTTTTTCTTCTTCTTTTTTTTCTTCTTCTTCTTCTTCTTCTTCTTCTTCTTCTTCTTCTTCTTCTTCTTCTTCTTCTTCTTCTTCTTCTTCTTCTTCTTCTTCTTTTTTCTTCTTCTCTTCTTCTTCTTCTTCTTCTTCTTCTTCTTCTTCTTCTTCTTCTTCTTCTTCTTCTTCTTCTTCTTCTTCTTCTTCTTCTTCTTTTTCTTCTTCTTCTTCTTCTTCTTCTTCTTCTTCTTCTTCTTCTTCTTCTTCTTCTTCTTCTTCTTCTTCTTCTTCTTCTTCTTCTTCTTCTTCTTCTTCTTCTTCTTCTTCTTCTTCTCTTCTTCTTCTTCTTCTTCTTCTTCTTCTTCTTCTTCTTCTTCTTCTTCTTCTTCTTTGTGTTCGGTTTTGTATACTCAGCTCAGACCATCAGGTTGGTTGCCTCTATGAACTCTTATGTCAGTAGCAGGTCCTTCATGGCTCCCCATAGCTTGCTTTGCACACTTTGCTCTTGAGGTTAGGTGTCTTTTCAAAGTTGTAGGTAGAGTGGGCAGGTCTGCAGAATATGCTCAGGTGAGCATATGCTTTATTAACTGTATACGTGCACCATCATCACACTCTTTATTTTTATGCATGTGGTAGTTGAGCCTGCAGTGTCCTGTTCGTAGACAGAAATTTGTTGTATGTTGCTTTATGTTGAATCTGCTGATGGGGTCTTGTGTTTACTGTTTGTTCTCTCCAAAATTCCTCGTATTTTCTCTTTATAAGTGTTCTGATTTCTGGTAATGGCAATGAATGGGCGTGTTGTTTCTCCTTTGTTCAATTCTTTCTCAGACTGTCTGCTAACTCATTTCCTGGTATGCCACAGTAAGCAAGGATCCACTGGAGAACGATTTGATTGTTTTCTGCAAGTCTGTTAAGCTGGCGGGTCAGTTCTCTCTCCATGTTGTCTCCCGGATCCCTCTGAGTCGCCTGGAGGACTGACAGTCACAGAGGAAAACAATTTTGCTGTGTTTAATTTTTTTTTCTTCAAGCACTTTGGCTGTATCAATAATTGCTTGCTGCTCTGCTCTAAAGTTTGTTGAGATTTTTTCAGAGGCACATGATGTTTCTACTGTGGTCCCGTCTTGCAGCATGCTGACCGATCCAACTCCTCCTGTTTTTTTCAGCTCCCTCCAGTGATCCATCGGTGAATATGTGTGTCCATTCAAGTTTTGGGTTAGAGTTGTAGTCTTTCTGTCTATGCCTGGAATTGTTGTTGTGACTGTATAGTTAGGCTGTATGTCTATGATGTATGCTTGGATCATTTCCCAGGGTCTTTAGAAAGGATGTTACTGTTTTTCGTGTAGCACAGTTTTGATAGATGGTGAAAGCTTTGTTTTTTTTTAGTCGGTTTTTAGTTAAGTTGTTTGCTGTTCTGTGCATGGGGATACTGTTCATGCATTAAAAATTTTCTTTTAGGGTAATAACCTTTTCTTCCCTTCGAAGGCTGAAGCTCTGGAGGCTTCTCATTCCTCCAGTGATTATTCTGAGACCAGTGTTTTATATTTTGTCCAGTTCTTGTAGGTTTGATTAAGCTGCAGTGGAGTATGCTCCCATGCCACACTCCAGTTTTGGTCGTACGTATCCTGTGTATACTTGTCGTACAGTGTTGGCATCTGCACCCCAGCTTGTTCCAGTAAGTTTCTTCATAAGTCGGGCCTGCAGGGTAGCTTTCCTTTGGGTGTCTTCAATGCGGGGGCCCCAAGTTAGCCTTTTATTGAATTTTACTCCCAAATATGCGTGGTTATCCTCTTTTGGAAGGATATTGCCTTCTAGGTACAGCTCAACTTGTTCTGGCTTTGTGGAAAGAGAGAAGAGAGTTGAGAGGGTTTTGGTCTGGTTTATTAGGACTCCCTAAGAGTCTGTCCATTTCTTAACTGTATTTATAGCTTCCTGCATTCTTGTTTTAGTTATTCCTATATGTTGAGCTTGGGTCCATATGGCCAGGTCATCTACATGTAGGGCCTTGTGAATGTGAGTCGTGAAATGTTTTGGGAAGTCGTTGATGAAAAGAATAAACAGGGTAGGAGATTTAACACGTCCCTGGGGGACACCTTCTTGTAACCTGACCAGCTTGCTCTTGTGTACTTCCAGTCTGACTCTCGCACAGCGTCTGTAACGAAAGTCTCTAATCCAGGCAAACATATGCCCTTTTATCCCACTGTGTGCTAGTTTTAGCAAGAGTCCTTTCTTCCAGACCTCATCAAAGGCTTTGGTCTGATCAAAGAAAGTAGCTAGCAGTTTGTATTTTTTCTGGAAAGCATCTTCAATTTCCTGTGCTAGATAAGAGGTTTGGTCATCTGTGCTTCTGTATGTCCTGAAGCCTGATTGGCTGTCATCCAATATCTTGTTTTCTTCCATGAAATTAAGCAACCTGTGGTTCACTAATCTTTCCATGGTCTTTCCAAGGCAGCTTAGGAGGCTTATGGGGTGGTAACTGAGCTTGTTTTCCTTGGGCTTTCCTATCTTGGCTATGGGGACTATATCTACCTCCTTCCATTCATTAGAAAGTAGTCCCTGGGTCCAGGATTGTTTGATAAGATCTAAGCATCGTTGACTACCAGCTGGTCCCAAATGTACTATCATTTCATTTGTTATTCAATCAGGTCCAGGTGCCTTCCTTTTCTTAAGGTTTCTCAATGTGCATTCAAGTTCTTGGGGACTGAAGAGTGTATCCATTTTATCTTGTTTATTTTCTTGCTTTTTGTTGATTTTTCTCAGTTCTCTAATTACTTCTTCTTCTCTCACCTCAGACATAATGATTTTGCTTTCCTTTGCAAAACTATCAGTCACCAGGTTTGCTGCTTGTTTACCAGTGAGAGGTTTCCCACCATCTTCAGTGACAGTGTGGGCATGGCTGGAATTATTCTCCTCATTTAGACACTTTACTAGATGCCATAGCTTTTTACCATCTGTCTCCATGTTGAGAATTGTAGTCTTTTCCTGCCATCTTGTCTGGATGCATGTTTTTTTCTGCTATAAGTAGCCTGATGTTTATTGTGTTCTGTTACGTTGAGGCTTCAGTACTTCTTTGGTGCAGTTGTTGTAGCTCTTGGGTCCAGAAGGGTTTATAGTTTTGCCATTGACCTCGGGGGATTGATTTTTGTGCTGCTTTGAGTATGATGCTGGTAAGAGTTGTGGTGTTTTTTCTAACTTCATTAGTTGGAAAGGGCTCTGATAGCTTCTTTTCAGTTAAGCTTTTGTAGAAGTCCGAGTCCTGCTTTCTTGTAATTCCTGCTGGCTATCTTCTTCCTGTTTTCTGGTGGTTTGACCTCTCCTATCATTATGACGACTAGTTAGTGATCACTTTCTCCCAACTGTTTCATCATTTGTCTGTCTGCCCTTCCTTTGAATTTTTCTGTAGCTATAGCTAGGTCTGGTGTACTTTGTGTTGGACATCATCTAGAGTAGCAGGTTGGTTCAGAGTCAGGTTCATTGATTAGTATCAGCAGGTTTTTGTACCATCCATTCCTCTACCTCTTCTCCTCTTGTGTCCATAGAAGCATAGCCCAGCTAGGGGAATGACTGTTAAAGTCACTGGAATTCAAAAGAAGCCTAATCCTTTTGCCAGAGAGGCTTATAAATCAGCTTTATTATCCTTTAAAGTTCCCAGCCAAACCTATTTATCAGCATTGCTACTCTGGCCATTTCCCTACAAAGCTAAATAGCATTGTTTGCACCTGTGCAGTGTTTAGAAGGACAGAGTATGATTATATTTACTAAAAATAGTGTTTGGGGCTCCCAGGTCCACCCAGCCTTGAGTGGGTACCAGGTACAGTGCTGGGAAGTGAAGGCCGCTGGCAAGATGCTGACCACATCAACCACCAAGTTCCGTTTGATCTATAAAATATAGTTCTAGCCCTATATACCCAATACACATGAAAGGCATGCAAAAGGGTCCTTTACTTTGTTCATTGTGGTAAAAATGGCTTTATAGTCATGACATCACAATTCAGTTTTAACCTTTAGTGGTCGCATAGCAACAGGGTCACAGTAGAAGTGGCTGTATACATATTTTTAAGGCCCAAGAAATTGGGTAAATAAAGAAAAAAAAATATTTGCGTAGTCACCCCTGTAAAATGATTGTTTTTTAAAGGATCTATTGTCAGAATTGTCAAGGTTCTTTGGCATTTAAAAAAAAATGGTTTTCAGGGAGAACTTATTAACATATTCTATATGCAATTTTATTTTTTTACAGTCACTCTTTTTGTGAGAATTAGTATTTTGTAAATGAATATTTAAGTAAAACTTAAAGAAATATTATTGTTGAACTGACATTTCATCTCATCGATATCTCAGCCAGTACTAGATTATTTGCATCCCATGCTCAACATCTACATCATCTATGAAACATTTACCGCATTTAGAGGATCAGAGTGTTGGTTCTGAGGCACCATTGGGGGGGGGGGGGGGATACCCCCTCCACACAACAAGCATGTTTGCAGAGACAGCGAGTCGAAATGCATCTGCTTGAGAGGTGAGGAACCAACAGTCTGCTTTCAAATAAACCAGATCTGTAAAAATATGCACTCAGAACTCAAGTTCTTGAACAAAACCAATGTCCAGAGGTGGAGGAACAGCCAGAACTTTCTGCTGGAGTTTACACCTAGTTAACGTTAAGATCAAGAAGGAGACTACACAGGTAAACTTACAAACATGCTTTATGTCTCTCAATTCAAATCTTATAATATCTCTTTATTGGCTGACATGTCACAGGTATCAGCATGCATCCTTTTTATAAGTGGGAAAATATGACTACAGAGTTTCAAAATAGCTGCCTGAGTAACTAGTAAATATAAGTTAATTGCATGTCCTTCTCCCCCCCCCCCCCCAGCATTGTTTGGCTGTTGTGGTTTTT